ATAGTTAGTCAGTTAACTTGAAACTTAAAATGTAGTATGGACTTTGAGTTTCAACATAGATTGTGCGACTCAACTCAAGTTCCTATCACAGGATAATTTTATGATCGAAAAATTAGCCTTTTTAAAATTATTATGATGCAAGCCTTTGAGACATGATTGCTTTGTGTGCACTTAACAACCATGTTGTTTGATCACTAGTATATCTGGAAAACGGTCTTGTCTTGAATCTTTATCACAATGTAATCCCTGCTGCTGAATTATGCCGCTCTCATTGATTTCATGGTTGTCTTATGGTCTCGGGTAGTTGAATCCATGTTTTAAATCTTTGCAACAGCATAGCAGAGAAGTTTCCCTATTTGGTTCGGAAAAAGCGTAAGGAAGGAGAAGAAATACGAAGGGTTGCTCAAATTGACTGGAACATTATTGCTGATGACTGCAACCAACCTTTTTCTGCATCAGGATTGAAATTCACTCCTTTACCAGTTAATTTCCAGGATCTTTGTCGTTAATGGTGATGATGCGGCACCCTTTATTATAAGGATTTAACTGTTTCTTTATGAATGTAGGTTATGCATGGAGAGGATTACACATGTTTGGGCTTTCTTTTTGGTGAGAAAAGCAGGGTGGCTTATATATCTGATGTTTCCCGGTTTCCTGCTAGTACAGAGTATGGTATGTTTTAACTTAGTTTCTTCTTGTTTGGACATATGCATCTACTATGTATACGTTTTTTATGATATAAATAGTCTATACTCTCTGTTGTATCATATACTCTGACTCTCTTTATCTCTTCCTTGGAAAAAGGACATATCGGTCATGGATTGCTCATTTTGGCTGTTTGGGACATGCTGTCATTCTGTAGTTTGGACAACATGTGTAGCTTTTTAGATTGCAATAACACCATCAAACGCATAAGACAAGTTTCATGTTTGAAGCATGCATAAGAAAATTATCAAATGAATTACGATTTTCAACATCTTATATCTAGCAATAAATTTCTTCTTACAGTCATCTCAAAAAGTGGGGCTGGACAGTTGGATCTTCTTATATTGGATTCATTGTATAGGGTCAGTAGTTCCATCTTCAACTCTTTTGGGTTTAAATTATAAATATGATGTTCAGGCTGTGTTCTAGGTATATAATCAGTTATGTTCTGCCACTGAATTTGTTCCGATAATGTACATGATATACCAATAAAGGATCTCTCCACGCCCGAAGGGCATGAATGCATGTACCCTCAACATGCAAAAGTGTCTTCTTATGATTTTTTAAGGATTTTTTTTTTATTTGTTTTCACTTGACATGGTTGATTTATTTTGTGTTGCATCATCCTTGTCTGATTTACATTGCTTTTTAACTGTTTCTTATGGCTTGCTTTGATTCAATCTTTTGTTAATTTATTCTATGGAATAATATTTTTCAAGTTTATTTTATTTTCCTTATACATGACGGACACCTCTTATTTGGTGTAAGTTTAAATTTTTATCAAAAAAGCTGATAAAATATGATTACTCCATGCATATGTATGCTAGACAATTGTTTTAAAATTTTCTTGCACTTCACATATCTTCAACATTAAAATAATGAAACCTTGTGTCCTTTTATTGCTTAAAAAACATAAATATGAAGTTTCATTCTTGATAATTTTGAAGTGAGAATTATCAGATTCATGTCATTTTATTCTGTGTTTTACCTTTTGTATTTCTCTACTCGTTGATTCATGTCATTTTATTCTGTGTTTTACCTTTTGTATTTCTCTACTCGTTGATTCATGTTTTCTTGTTTGTTTTCTGTGTTATCACAGACTGGGTCACATAATGTTCACCTTTGTTTTCCACAGGTTTGTTTTCCATTTTATCCAAAAAAGTTATGTTTACACTTCCTTGGTCCCTGACGTTGATGATGCAGTGTTATTAAATTGGTAATTTTGCAGACTCTAGAAACTGTGAAGAGATTGTGTCCTAAGCAGGCACTACTTATTGGTATGACTCACGAGTTTGATCACCACAAAGACAACGAGTTTTTGAAGGAGTGGTCCAAAAGGTATGTCTTTTTATTTTTTGAAGAAATCAAAATCGTTGCAAATACATATAGTAATAACTGACACGATGATCTAATAGTAACAGGGGAACCCGGAATACTAAACCCTTATATGTGTGTGTTTTATTGTATCTATATGTTGTAGATTTTAGAAAAAGATAGAAATGACTCTTCTATTATTGTATTATTTAGGGAAGGAATTCCAGTGCAGCTTGCTCATGATGGACTGAGAGTCCCCATAAACTTATAGTATGGAAAGGTAAATGATACTTCATTTTTCCATCAACAGTGTATGATGAGTGGTGTGTGAATCTGTGTCTGATTTAAGGAAAAGGATAAGGAGTATGTGTGGGATGGCAAAATAATTTATTCATTTGCTTGGGTAGTGGTAAAAACTGAGAATTTACTCCCATAATATAGAAGTAGATAAGTTGCAGTGGAGTGTATATGAATTAGAGAAGTTTTTTGTTTCCGAAAACAAGCACAGCCTTCTTTGTACCTTAGCCATTGACATTTTGGAATTGATTACGCATTTTAATACCAGACATATCATTTACCTTTTCTTCACCCCGTTATAAGTAGCCAAATTGACTTTCGATGATTATCAATGTTCTTAAATCTTAATATGTGCTATATCATGCTATTGCAGGTTAAAGCATGTGACATTGTATCCCACACACTGTGATGTTAATTAGACTGTATTGGAGCATTAATATTCTTTACAGGATCCTCATTTTTTGTAGTATTAAAAAGCCACATTTTTGCTTAAGGTGGCATTCCTGTATAACAATGATAATTTATTTTGATGGAAATCCCGATTCTTCTAATTAAACTCGCGAAAGCCGTGTTAAAATAATTCTATAATAGACTTCTTAATCCGAGAAAATGAATCGAGTAGCATTGACTTTTTAAGAGCTTAAAGGATTCACGTCTTAGATTTCTTTGGCAGTCCGAGTCACTGCAATGAAACTAATCTGTCGTACAAGTTTTTTATTATTTAATTGTATGCGTTGCTCTAAATAATAATTGGTCAATATGTCAATGGAACAATATGTTTTCTCACTCTGGTCTTCCTTCATACATTATGGAATATTCTGCCTTTTCGGATACCAATCATGACAATACCATAATTGTTTAATATATATAGTTAAGTTAATCTAAATGACAATTGTTTGCTGTCTTTCATGTATGTTTTCTATGTATGTTTTCTATTTGTGATATGAATTAACATTCCTGAGTAACACAAATTTCTATAATGAATACTCGCGTTTGTACAAATAAATTTTACGAGGATAGAAATTAAGGATTTATAAATATATCATTCTATTCAATGTATAAATTTCAGTTTGGTTAAAGAAAGTAAACATTTCGTTTAATTAAATAGAACATATATTACTTTCTATTTATATTTATTTTGTTGCTATGAATGAAAGTTATTTTATTTTTCTATCTATTTATTTATTTTTTAATTATTTATTTTATTATTTATTTATTTTTATATTTATTTTATTTTCACATGTACATAAAATATATTTTACCTTCTTATCCATTTATTTTATTTTTAGACTAATTTTTTATTTATATTTATTTTGCTATGTCCATGAAATTATTTTGTTAATCTATCATCTATTATCCATTATTTAAAAATTAAACTATTATCTAATTGAGACCGTAAATATTCTAATTAGAGGAATGTAACAAAAATATATTAGACAAGTCATTATATATGTTGATTAGATGAGTTTAGGAATACTTTGATTAAACAAGTTGTCGATGAATTGATTAAATTATTCTAACAAATTCGTCGATGTATTGATTATACGAGTCTAACAATACATATTAGACTAATATATTCATACACTAATTTATATTTATAATGAGTATACTCAACATATTTTTGCATAGTTTACATTTAATAATTTACTCTATATTTAAATTTCTTTACATATATATATATATATATATATATATATATATATATATATTTTTTTTTTTTGACTTTCCAAACTTATAAATATGTTTTCACGTTAATTTTATTCAAAATTTAATTATAAATTTAAAATTATTATTATTATTTTCTTCCATTTCTAAATATCTTTTAAAAATAGTTCTTAATACATGCATAAATTTTCACCCGTTAAAAATAATATTAGTTCTTTATTTATAGAAGAAAACTTAATTGGAATAATTAAGTGCTACTATATGTTGCAGGGGTGGAATCCAGTCATCATATGATATTTTTACTCGGTAATTTTTATTTGACCCGTAAGCTTTTAACCCATTCCACTCAATTATTTTAGGCGAATTTTAACTCATGGAACTTAATAAATTTTTAACACAATATGTACAAACGAGAGTAAATCTCACGTTTGAGTTTAGATTGTTACTTATAATGCAACGGATTCTTTTTTCTAAGAAACGGGGTAAAATATGTCGACTGTATACTCTTATATAATATATTTCAACGAATTCATAAATTAGTTTTTTTTAAATGTTTCAAAATTTCTGTATAAATTATTTTTTATTTTCTAAAATACTTCTAAAAGTTTCTTTATATATTTGTCGGTGTAAAATATATTAATGAATTGAACTAAAAAATTACACTGACAATGTATATAAATTAAATTAAAATACAAACATAAAAGTGAAATTATCTGTGAAATAAAATCATCTATTAACCTTTGCATTTCATTATATTGAAATTACAATCCATGTTGAATTAAGTTACAGATAAAAGACAAAGTTCTGAACCTTGTTTTAAAAAAAATAAAAGTATACTATAAATTCTTAAACAACTTTATTTATGTTCTGCATGTCTAATATTATATTTATCCTCTCATTTATTTTATGCTTTCTGAAATTGTAATAAAATATATATACAGAACAACAACGTTCCACCATAAATTTCTTAGACATTAAAGGGTTTTTTGTTCATGTTACAAAAGATACGAACGTGTTGAACTAGTCAATGCACGTGATATCTTTTTGGTTTCCATTTGGAAGACTTGGTCGTTTACAAGAAACAACAGAAGACCATGCAGAAGGAAACAACGAGTTGAGTTCCTCAAACCAATTAGAAACCTTTCCATAAAGCAGCTTCAAATTGATGGAAGCTTCGGGTATGCGTGTTTTATGGTTTATTTTTCGTATTTGAAGATTCTCAGAGACAAATAGAAACATTGGTAATTTAGTGCCAGTGAAGGAGCTTAAAAGCAAGGCTAAGATATACAAACGTAAGATGGCATGTTCTGTGCCTTTTAACAAGAAGAATTTGGACATAAGTTTCTTCGTTTTCAAGCCAACTATTGTGATCATAGATGACTTAGTTCATGAACTCAAACACTTCTCCTTAACTACTGAGAACCTTGGCTGTGTTCAGAGCTCTATATTTAGAAGCATCCATGGAAATATGGTAAGTTTTTTCTTTAATTTCTCAGTTTTTTTAATTTTAAATCATTTCTCATAGGCTTAATTATCTCGGTTTTGAATTGTATGATCTAAATTTCTGTGTCTAGTTGGTTCAATTGGTTTGAAACTTGCTGATTATAGTTTATGAAAACCCGTTTTTTATCCTTGAATGATACCAATAATTGGGTTGGAAGACAATAACTGATCAGTTTGCATCCTAAATTGATTAATTATATTTTATCATTCTTATTTTCAGATTTGTTTTCCACGTGGGATTTTGGACCCACGAGTTCATGTTCATGAAGAACTTCTATCTTTCAATGAATGACAACTTCAGATGCCATTGCTTCATGGTAGTTTACCATCTGTAATGGTTTAATCTGTCATCAATTTACCGATATATCCGTTTAACATCAGTGATTTTGCTTGTGTTCAATTAACTAGTTTTTACCATGTGGGTTCTCAGTGATAATCAATTTCCTGAATTAGCAGCAGAAAATTATAAATTTCGACAATAATTACCCCTGTTTCATTGATTAAAGTTATTTTTTGTACCCAACAAAACTCTAAACGTGTACTGTACTTACACCGATCATCCCACAAATGATGTTTTGTTCTGTTCTGTGTTAATGGTAAACTCTTTGGGTTGATGTTCTTCTGATTGGGCTTATCAGACACCATTGTTCTTTATCTTTCTTGATTTATTTGTTAACTTTGTGATATTTATGCTGTGTAATCAGATCATATGGTATGGAGCATGGCCGAGGCAGTCGAGTAAGGAAAAAGAGGAGCTGACCTCAACCCTTGTAAGTTGGACTCTTTCTTGAATAATCAAAATATGAAAAGTAACCAATTCTTAATAAAATTCATTTGAAAACAATGACATTTGCTTCAACGAAATCAACTGCCAGCCCACACAGGTCGAACAATTGATATCATTTTAAGGACTAGTCGTTCAGAATTTGGCTCACACATCTTTAACTATTAAGAAATGCACAAGAGACATGCAAAGGAAAAATGTTCTTTACCGAATTGTCACCTTACTAGGTTATAAACTACATAGAACATGTAAACTCTTATTAATTCTTTAGCTATCTTTCACTTTAATCAACAGACACTGATAACCTTTTCCTTTTTAGTTTTGTATGTATTTATTTATGCTATTGTTGGCACTCTACAGAAAACAATGTTAACCAACAGCATATCAACCATGGCTGTGTTAACTGATCACAGTTTCCTTGAAGCATATGGTGGAGAGTCAAGAGACGGGTCTTCCACAGCAAAATTCTCCACTGGGGACATATTATCCTTGAACTCAGCAGTGACCACTACCAATGACCTTAATGACCTCTGCTACGCTGTTCTAGCAATTTTAAGGTCTCGCTTTGCCAAAATTGAAGGAACAATCTCTGGGCTTTGCTTCAAGGGACAAAGCAAACCCAGAATGGTGTGCATGCATGTCTGGAAGTCTCTCCATTTTTGTTACTCATGGATTCTGAACTCCGACCAAAGAAAATGGATGATGCCATATCTCGAACGTTTCTCCATTGAGATGAAGTATGACATTTTCCGAGTAGTGTATGTCAGTGGTGACAATGTGGTTGATTTCAACTGTGTTTCTACTCATCAGATGTTAGAAAATGGGAAGGAGAAGAGCAGGCAAGGGCAGGTTATGCAGAACTGAGATAGCTGCAAAGGGTTTCATGTTTACAACCATCATCTTTTGCCCACTTTTTAAACTCCCTCTTATATTGTAAATATTGCAAGTTACTCTCAAAGTCAGGTTACAGTTTAGAACTCAAAAATCCTATGTTAGGTTTTGGTTTTGGTTTCGGACTGCAAAGTCTTGATCAGTGAAAGAATGAATCATATGCGTCTTAATGTTCAGAAAAAGTATGAATCAAAAGGTTCCATTTCAGAAATAGTGTGAAATCCCTTGAATCATTCTTGTTTTCAAACCCACCCCAGAGTTGAAGAGACAAGTTCAATCTAGTAATGGGTTTTTTATTTTTTTAACAAAAAATGAAGGAAATATCATTTTAATCGACTAATAACATTTATTTTAACAAACTTCTAGTTTATTGAAAATTATAAAATCATATGCGTGATATGAAACATTTCGTTAATATTTGTTTTATTTCAAATACTTGCATTTTAATTTTCCCTTAATGTAATTAATTGTCAGTTGAAGTTTCATAAAATGAGAAAAAAAAATAATGTAGAAAAGTAAATAGATAATTCCTCCATAATAAATAAAGTTTTTTTTATTATCTAATCTGAGTACTTTATTTTTTTTAAGTGTTTAATTATTTAAATTCTTCAAATATATTGTAGCATTTAAAATTAAAAAGTTTTATTAAAAATAAGGTGACAAACTCACGTGAACACTCTGTATATATATCATAATGTTTTTTAACAAAACTTCTTAAAGAGTAAAAAAGACACACAAAATGTATTCTCATTATTAAAATAACTGGAATAATTTTTTAAAAATTTAAGATAAAAGTATGCAGTAAAAAAATAGCTATTTAAAATTTCTCATCTTCACTTCATCTGTTTCAAAAATATTGTTCTTTCAATTTCCCTTCTTCATATTGCCAGATTCCATTTTCATGAATTGCTCACAGTCACTTCTTCTTCCATCGTCAGTCCGAGAGAGAGGTATGTGTTGATTTTCACATTTTCCTTTTTTTCCTCATCTCTCACAAACTCAATACCTTTAATTGTAGTTAATCGATTCCCAAACATTTGACTGATGTCATTTTTGAGGAGGTTCAATTATTATTTACTGGCAAAACTTTTAGCTTCCAATTTTCGTGATAACCATTTCCCCTCTATTGCTTTGACCTTTTCTTCTGCAAAACATTCTGTTCTTTCTGCTTCTTATTCAACCGCTGGTCTCAGATATCAAAGTGAGGGTAAGCGCAGTGACATTAGGAATTTCGACTGTGGTTTGGGGAAAACGGGTCCTGATTTTCAGGAAAGCTTAAGTTTTGTTGCGAATGTTTGTGATGGGGCAGAAGAACAGAGTGAAGAAGGGGAGGGGTCTAGTGATGACGATAGTCTTGAGTTTATCACTTCCTTTCGTGGTAGCAACCAACAACAGAGAGAAAGTATTGCAAGAATTGAAATTGGTGAGGCTGAAGTTAGGCACCCTTTGGTGAGGGAAGTTTGTAGGTTAATCACACTTAGGTCTGCTTGGAACCCTGATTTGGAAGGACATTTGAGGCACTTGTTGAGAAGCCTCAAGCCCCCACTTGTTTGTGCTGTTTTGCGCTCTCAGACTGATGAACGTGTTGCTTTGAATTATTTTTATTGGGCTGATAGGCAGTGGCGCTACAGACATGACACTATTGTGTACTATACAATGCTGTATGTTCTTAGCAAGACCAAATTGTGCCAAGGTGCGAGGAGGGTTCTTCGGCTAATGACTCGCCGCGGAATTGAATGCTCACCCGAAGCTTTTGGCTATGTGATGGTGTCTTATAGCCGTGCAGGCAAGTTGAGGAATGCATTGCGAGTTTTGACATTGATGCAGAAATCTGGTGTTGAACCTGATTTATCTATATGTAACACTACTATCTATGTTCTGGTGAAGGGCAATAAATTGGAGAAGGCGCTGAGGTTCTTGGAACGAATGCAGGTGGTTGGAATCAAACCCAATGTTGTAACTTACAACAGCTTGATCAAGGGTTACTGTGATATAAATCGGATTGAAGATGCATTGGAGCTTATTTCAGAAATGCCATCCAAGGGTTGTCGTCCGGATAAAGTTAGTTATTATACTGTGATGGCTTTTCTCTGTAAGGAGCGAAAAATTGATCAAGTGAAGCATCTAATGGAGAAGATGGTTCAGGATTGTAACTTGATACCAGATCAGGTTACATATAATACGCTTATCCACGTGCTTTCAAAACATGGGCATGCAGATGAGGCTCTTGCTTTCTTAAAGGAAGCAGAAGAGAAGGGTTTCCACGTGGATAAGATTGGGTATAGTGCAATAGTTCACTCGTTCTGTCAAAATGGAAGGATGGATGAGGCAAAAAGTTTAGTTATTGATATGCATTCAAGAGGATGTAATCCGGATGTAGTGACATATACTGCAATTATCAATGGATTTTGTCGCTTGGGGAGGATAGATGAAGCAAAAAAAATGCTGCAGCAGATGAACAAACATGGGTGCAAACCAAATACGGTATCATATACAGCTTTGTTGAATGGCCTCTGTCATAGTGGAAAATCATTAGAGGCAAGAGAGATGATAAGTGTAAGTGAGGAGCATTGGTGGACCCCAAATGCCATCACTTATGGTGCCGTGATGAATGGGCTTCGTAGGGAGGGAAAATTGTCAGAGGCCTGTGATTTGACCAGGGAAATGATTGAAAAAGGGTTTTTCCCAAATCCAGTTGAAATTAACCTGTTAATACAGTCACTCTGCCGAAATCAGAAAGTAGTAGAAGCTAAAAAGTATTTAGAGGAATGTCTGAATAAGGGATGTGCAATTAATGTCGTAAATTTCACTACTGTAATTCATGGTTTTTGTCAGATCGGTAGCATCGAAGGTGCACTATCTATGCTAGATGACATGTACTTAAGTAACAAACACCCTGATGCTGTCACATATACGACATTGTTTGATGCATTGGGGAAGAAAGGTAGACTGGATGAGGCAGCTGAGTTGATTGTAAAGATGCTCAGCAGAGGTTTGGATCCAACTCCTGTAACATACAGATCAGTTATCCACCGTTATTGTCAATGGGGTAGAGTAGATGATATGTTGAACTTATTGGAAAAAATGCTCGTTAGGCAGCCATTTAAAACCGTATACAATCAGGTTATTGAAAAACTTTGTGATTTTGGGAACCTTGAGGAGGCTGAGAGACTACTGGGGAAGGTATTGAGAACAGCATCAAAACTCGATGCCAATACATGCCATGTTGTGATAGAAAGCTATCTAAAGAAAGGGTTTTCTCTATCAGCGTATAAAGTGGCTTCTCAAATGTTTAGACGTAATTTGGTTCCTGATTTAAAGTTGTGCAAGAAAGTGAGCAAGCAGCTGGTGTTAGATGGTAAGTTAGCCGAGGCTGATAACCTTATGTTACGATTTGTTGAGCGTGGAATACAACAAAAATGAGATGCATTTGTGAGGTTAGCTGCTATTCAAAGCTTAAGTCTCGTAACAATGATTTTGTTTTAAATTTCCTTTATCATTTTTATTTTGCTGGTATTCCATCTTGTAGCCTTTCATGTGGCTAGGCAATTTTGAGGCAACAATGATTTTCTTTTGAGAGCTCATATAACTATCATTATATGATTTAGATGATTTTATAATTTTTTTAGTTCAGTCACATCACTTTCCATTCTCTGGTGGTAATGATATGCATTGAATACCACTCACAAGAGCACACTCCCAGTTTTATCTAAACTTCAAACTGATCAATCAATCCTCCGCCAAAATATTCCAATTGTACATGATCTTATGATGAAGCCATTCCTTGATAAGATATGTTACCATCAGCAGAAATTCATAGGTTAAGGATCTTCGTGGATTTCTACCCCTGTTGGTTCAGTTGGTCCACCACGTAGCCCTACATGTCAGTGCTTTAACGCCTATATAGGATGGATGCATCTGCAGTAACACTAACTCACAACATCATTGTCGATGACTGAATTTCCAGTTGAAATTACCAAAGGAAAAAGTTGTTCAAAGATTTGTAGCACAAGACGAGGAGGTATTACAAGGTTTCTCTTTCTAAAAGAACTTAGATCAAAATTGTATACTAAGTAAAAATCAAGAAACTGAAAAACAGTAATTTAGAACATATATGTCTATATCTTTTCTAAGGTGATCTTATGTTAAAATTTGCTTGCAGATATAATAGCATGAGGAAAAAAAAATTCAAGCAAGGAAAAGACATCTACAGGTAAAATTCGACGTAGAAATGAGAAGAATTGAGGTTCTTGGCTGTAGATGTCCATATTCATTGGAAAGAAACTTCTTATATAAGAATTTTGTTAAGATTAATGTCTGCTTGAATATATAGTCCATAAAAAAATAACAGGATTAAATTGATATTATAGTGATGTTTAAATCATATAGTTTTTTTTTCCTTTAATTTAGATATTCTAATTTTTCATTAGGTATATTATAGTTTTTTTTTTTAATTTAGATATTCTATACATAGACAAACCTAATTAATCATTCCACAACCTGTAACTTCCATGCTTTTCCAAGGAAGACGTTCAAGAAGCCTCTTGCAAATTTAAAATCTAAAGTCAGTTTGAAAGTAGTTAAAGTCGAAATTACAATTAGGATATTAAGAATAATAGATTTTATTTTCTACAAAAGAAAATTAAATTATTAAAAAAAAAGTTAACATTTCATGAACTTTCACAAAATAAATTATATTATAAACCCTTTACAATAATAATCAAAATAAGAGTCTTAAGTTAAGTGCGTAAAAGAAGAAAGTGTTCCATTTTAATTGATTAAAATTGATACGATATAACAAAAAATAGCCTTTATTTTAAATTGAAATTTAATTTTGTTTTAATTAAACTTTATTCAAAAAGATAACTATTGAGTGATGTTAAAACTAAAAATACGAATAAAATAATTTTTTAAAAATTTACAATTTTGTTTAATAATCTTACGTATTTTACTATGTTGCAATTCTGCTTATAATCTAACACGTATAAAACCATAGAATTTTACA